AGAGTCCGTCAAAAACAGAATTTCAGAATCTGCCACAGATCCACATCCAAATTTTAATAAGAATCTGAATTTTTAAAAGATCTCTAGGACTGGTAAACACAGGAAATTTGTGAACAGGTTACTTTGTGAAAGAATTCAAAGTTAGTTATTAAAAAATGTTATGGAGCTAGGCAGTGATGATACACAACTTTAATCCCAGCACTTGAGAAGCAGAGATAGGTGGATCTCTGTAAATTCAAGGCCAGCCTGGTTTACAAACTTAGTTCCAGGACAGCCAGGATGACACAAAGAGACTCTATCAAAAAACAAAACAAAACAAAACAACAACAACAAAATATTATATGAAGATGAAGAGATGGTTTAGTGCTTAATGTTTAGTTGGAAGTGTCACTCCAGCTCCCTGGTATCCCTTTATCCAAGAAGTCTGGGATGTTTGGTTGGAAGCATCACCCCAGCTCCTGGCACCCAGTTTGGAATGTTTGGTGGAAAGTTCCATTTCAAGCCCCCTCCCCTGGGAGTTGCCTCAGTCCAAATTCCACCTCTGAGAAAGCCTGCCAATGGTGACCCCTCCCCAGGGAGGGTCAAGACCACTCTCACAGGCTATTTAAACTGTCCCCCCACCCCCGAGAATGAACACTGGTCTTTCCAATTCTTCCCCTGTTTGTGTTTTCCTGGAGGGCCTCCCAGGAGCGCTGGCATCCGTTAACCTGGGCTTTTTCTAATTCAGTTTGATTTGGTCTGATTTGGATTATTGCATCAACAGAGAGGTTTATTGGGCTGAAAAAACTTTATATCTGAAGGTTCCACTGAGATGGGCTGTTTTTCTCACTGGCCCAGGGCTACCTGCTGGAAAACGCCCTTCTTGCCTGCCCTTCTTGCCTGGTTCTCTCTGACAGGCTAGGATTGGCTTTGTCTGGGTGAGTTCCCCTTTTTCAAGTACATGCCCCTAAGGCCGTTTGTTGAGCAGTCTGTTGAAGCCATGGGCCCATGCCAGACTCACTCCTGACTAAAGTGGTCCTTAATGTGACCACTGTGTACTTCCCTGGCTTCTGTTGCCTACCTACTCCTGACTAAAATTGAGACGTCCTTCCACGGAATTCTTACATTCCTTTGTTTTTTGACTCAAGAGTCTTATCATAGTGGATGCATTGTGGTAGGCTTTGAGTCCCAAGACTCAACATTGACTTGTAAAAATAAAAACTTACAATTTGAGGCCTAATCTTCAAACACCCTTGGACTGCCTTTTATAAAAATCCTTTGAAATTGGGGCTATCTAACACCTAACGTAAAATAAACAAGGCTCCAAATGCTCATGGGTTCTGGATGCTGTGCTCCCACTCCCCTTCCCTGCTCTCCCTTCTTGCTTCTCTAGCTGTTTGCTGTTTTTCTTACTCTGGGATTCTCTACAATGGATCCATTTCCCCGTCCTTACACTCTAAAACTGTATAGGTGTTCAGTCCTTAAGTTACTGTTCCCTCTTGAGAGTCTGCTAATCTGGTCCTTAATGTGACCACTGTGTACTTCCCTGGCTTCTGTTGCCTACCTACACTGGGATTTTAAGTTGGTCAGCTGACACAGGTTCCTAAAAAAAAAAAGTTTTGTCGATTAAAATAATGTGGCCACACTATGCTTTTACGTCTGTGTGTATGTGTGCATGTTTTAAGATCTGTAAAACTTATAACTCCAGATTACAACAGCTCTGGAAAAATACAAACATGTGGGTAGCCACCACTTTGACCTCACCGCCATCTTTAATAAGAGTACCCACATGTCCTAGTATTCTTTGACTTATAATAAAAATATTCCTTTTAATCTTCTTATATTTACTAGCATTGGTAAGCCATAACTAACTGAGTAAAGTATATGTCTAAGTTTAACTCATATGTCTAATTTAAATATAACTAAACAGGTAATGGTACCCTGATTCTCAGGTGCCTTTACAGATCTAAGAGTATGGCATTTAACAAAAGAGCTTCTAACACAGAGACATACCAGTTCCTGCAGCATCCTATAGCTCCTCCACGAATATTCATGGTTACAAAAGACCTTCTGCCTGAAGGCTTGCCTTTGGGTATGACAAATTTACCCACATAGCAAAAAAGTAGCCTTCTACCTCATTGGCTTCCTGGACACTCCACCAGGGGATTGATCTTTTCATCCTACCAAGTTGGGTAGACTAAATCCACCCCCCCCCACCCAAGGAAAATCTTTGGGCCTCTTGTACTGAGCAGTTAATGGCAAGTATTGCTTCTCAGGCTGGTGTTCTCCAAAGACTACAGAGAGACTTGGGATTGCCTGTGTAGCTAAAAAAGCTGTCTTATTTCTGCTCATTTATCTCTCTTAGATCTGTCTAATGGCATTTGATGACTTAAGGTACTGGTAACTCATTACTTCATTTGTTAAGTTTCCTGCTAAAGATACAGACAGGTATGCTTCTTTCACAGGTTTTATAGTCCAGGATTAACAGGTTTCTAATGTATCTTAAAAGATCCAGAGTTCCCAATTCCATTTAATTGTCTTCTAAAATGTTTCTGTTCCAGCTGTCTTACAGATACCTACAAGTTTCTGGAAAAAGTTCTGCTGCTGTATCAAAAATCAGGTCTGGTAAAAACTAACAGTCTCCAGAGTCTATCTTATCCCCACCCATTTTCAAGCATATTTCCCAGGTCACTCCTGTTGTCTGGGTCAAGACCAACTTATAGAGGGCCTTCTAGACAACGCCAACACCTGCACCAGCTCCTGGGACTTCACCATTGGTACCAAGTCTCTGGGCTCAAAAGGACACCAGCCAACTAAAATCTAGTTTTAAAGGGCATATCTGTTCTTGTGTCTCACTTATTCACCCACGCCTCACCTGTACAACCAGGGCATTTCTCTGTCCCATTCTTTCTGGCAGTTAATGACCCTTCCCATGGCTAGCCCCATTCATAGGGTGATGGAGGAGGATCATCTGTCTATGTGTTACTTTCATTGGTTAATAAAGAAACTGCCACAGCCTTTGATACGACAGCAGCTTAGATAGGCGGAGTAGACAGAACAAATGCTGGGAAGAAGGGAAGTGAGGCAGACGTCATGGATTCAGCCGCCAGGTCAGACATGCTGAATCTTTCCTGGTAAGCCACCACTTCGTGGTGATACACAGATTATTAGAAATGGGTTAATCAAGATGTGAGAGTTAGCCAATAAGAGGCTGAAACTAATGGACCAGGCAGTGTTTAAATTACTACAATTTGTGTGTTGTTATTTCGGGGCATAAGCTAGCCAGGCGGCCAGGAGCCGGGTGGCAGGAATGCAGCCCGCTGCTCTGTTTTCAACAATAGGGCTATTGACAACAATATATTTTTTTCTCCTAGTCACCTGCCTTCTCATCTCCCTCAAGGAATAGATGATGTCTCCAGGATGACAGTAAACCATATGCCTCTGCAGCCACACTTCTCGCTGAGTGTGAGCCCAGCAACTCCCACGTCACTCCATGCCTGCAGGAAGTAGCCAGACTGGAGCTGGGGCCACTTTTATCCAAGGAGTCTGGGATGTTTGGTTGGAAGTGACACCCCAGCTCTCTGGCATCCATTTTGGAATGTTAGGTGGAAAGGTCCATTTCAAGCTCCCTCCCCTGGGAGTTGCCTCAGTCCAAGCTCCACCTATGAGAAAGCCTACCAAATGATGACCCCTTCCCAGGGAGGGTCAAGACCACTCCCACAGGCTATTTAAACTGCCCCCCCCCCCCGAACATGTGGTCTTTCCCCTTTTCCTTCCCCCTGTTCGTGTTTTTTTGGAGGGCCTCTCAGGAGTGCTGGCACCCATTAACCTGGGCTTTTTCTAATTCAGTTTGGTTTGGTCTGATTTGGATTATTATGTCGGCAGAGAGGCTTATCGGGTCAAAAAAACTTTACAGTTAACAGCACCCACTGCTCACACAGAGGACCCAGACAGCAGGACTAGGCATTCCAGGCCAGCCAGGGTTTTGTGAGAACCCATTAAAAAAAATAGTGAAAAAATTTCAATGAAATAAACAAACATTGAGTTTCATCAGGCCTAGGCTCCTGAAGAACGGCAACTGTAGCTGGGCTCTGTGATGATGCTCACTTTTAATAGTTTTTCTTCTTTTTGAGAGAGACCCTTTCATCACAAGTTAGGGCTCTGGGCATGACAGTATGTAGCAAAAGTCTCAGCTTGAGTTGCTTAGAACAGTAATTCCTGTGGTGCCTGGTGCTCAAGTTGTTTGCTTAACTTTCTGTCTCTGACAAGCACTTATTAACTCTGCTTGCAGACAAGTGAGGCCCACTGACCCAAATCCAGACACTAGGAAATGGTGGTGGCAAGTATACCCACCAGGAATGAAGACTCTCATGGGCTGTTAGAACCACCGTTAGTCTAGTGACCACATTCTGAAAATGACGTTAGTTCTTTTATATTCTCCAATACTTAATGACTGCTCTCCATCTCTCTCAGCACCTCCCTACTACTTCCTGGCAGCTCTGGGGACAGAGAGTTTTTCCTTCTTTTGGACACAAGCCTCAGACCTAGTTTCAGAAGGGATATCCGGCCCTCAAGGCCCAGAGGAGGCAAAGGCCTCATTGTTCCCTAGGGCTTCGCAGCCCCGCCCCCAACTCTCAGGACTTTCCTCGCAAGACCCCAGGTGACCGGAGAGCCAGTTTCCCAGGACTGGGGGACCTTTGGGTGAAGAGGAGCTGGGACATGTGGAGTCTGACGTTCTTAAACTGTAAAGAGCTAAGTGCTCCAAGATAAACAAGCTTGGAATTTGAGTGCTTTTCCATGCCGGCTAGCGCTGGCCTAGCTTGTCACTTATTAACGCTCCCACAGCCGCCTCAGACGGTTCCTTATGTGTTTTTAGTAACATGAACATAAAGAGAATCGTGGAGTTGCTCGCCCCGCAGGCTTGCAGAGCTATTTCGAACGCGGGGCCTGGCGCCTGAGTTTTGATTCGCCTGGACACGCCGCCACCAGGGGGCGCTCAGACTACGTGGCGGAGACGGGCCACCGCCGGTCGCCCGGGCTGCCGAACCCCTTCCTGCCCGGAAACAAAGTGCACCTTTGTCAGCGACCTGGCGCGTGTGAGCGGCAGAAGACGGGCGGCGCGGAACCTCAGGGCGCGCCTTCGCCCGGGTCTCCCTCACCAGCGTCCCGCCGCCGTGGCTTGTGCTCTCCGCTTTCTGGGATCTTGGCGGAACTGGAAAGGGACTTTCCGCTCTGCTTCGGCTGAGTCGTTTTTGACTCTCCAGCCGACAAGGCTGGGCTGCCTGGGTTCAGCGCCATATCCGCTGCACTCCGCCCCATACCCCAGCTCAGAAGCGTCCCGTCTCGTCAGGCCCCGGACTACAACTCCCAGCCGTCCTGCGCCCAGAGCGCACGGTGGGCGGTGCCCTTGAGCAGGCGCCTGCGCGGACCGGCGGCTCCTGCCTAGAGTACCACACCCCCGGGAGGGGACCGAGGAGAGGCTGAAGCATCCGAGGCATTAAAGCATCCGCGGGAGTCGGAGGGGAGGAGAATGGAGTGACAGAGACGCGCAGAGGGTGGGGGGTGGGGGGGAGAGTGTTGAGGGAGGGGGGAGGGGGGGACACAGAGGGAGGAAGAAGCGGTGGCGGCGGCGGCTCCTCAGTGCAGAGGGGGAAACTCCGCGGGTTCCGAGCAAGAATAATGCGGTAGCAAGGCGGGCTGCTCGCTCCCGGTTCTGGCTTTAGCGGCTTCAGCACGAGCAACGGCACCGGCATCACCCCAGGCGCTGACAGCCACACCGACCGGCTCCCTTGCTGATTGCCGACTGTCAATGGAGCTGGAAAACATCGTGGCCAATACAGTGTTGCTGAAAGCCCGGGAAGGTAAGCTCGAATGGTCCCGTGCGTGCATGGCGCATTCGCCGCGGGCCGGGCTGCGGGTGTCGAGTGGGCAGCGGGCGTGCAAGGATGCTCGCGGTGAGTTGGTGCTCGCGGTACAGTTCAGAGATCTGTCTGCAAATGTTGGGGGGCTTCTGCCTTTGAGCTCAGAAGATTAGGATTGGGGCAGAGACGATTGCAGGCACTAGTTAAGATGCTAAAATATCCTCTAGTTTCCAGCCGAACCTAGAGATCTTGAGATCTCCGCAGCTGTCGAAAGGTCAGTTGGAAAAGCATTCTTTCAGGGGAGAGAGAAAAGAAAACGTGCCAATAAAATAGCCTCTCGAGTTGGTTCGGGATGGTTTTTGAGAGTGAGAACTACCCCCATCCCCTACTGTTTGTGTGTGTGTGTGTTGTGTGTTTGGAATTAGTAGAAGCCAAGTCTTTGCTTGCGCAGGCTGAGTTGATAAAGACTATTGGTGGGAATCATCCTCTGGGAAAATTTCTTAGGGAAATCCCGTCGTCGTGTGGAAGAAAGCCTTTTAAAGGCAAAGTAAGATGTTGAGAAATTAGCCAGTTTATAGAATAATAAAAGGGTGGCTTTAAAAATCACTGGGAAAATAATAATAAAATTCCAGGGTGAATTGTTAATAACCACCCCATCCCGCATTAGGTAATTGTTTCGTTTTGGCTCAATTAAAGGTAAGGGTGCTGCTGTTTAGATGCGTTTTGTATGCATCTTACTAAATCTCCTGCATTTAACCGTTAGAAATGTCATCCAAGTGGAATGAGTGGGTAAGATCCTTAGTAATACCTGTTACTATGTATTTTGACTCTTTCTTGAGTTGAAAAAGTGTGTGTGGGGTCAGAAACTTAGATGTCCTAAAAGATTTGTGTTGCGTGAAAGTAAACATACATATTTAGGAAAACCTGGGATTTATTTAATATCTCACTTGCCAAGATTTGAACTCTGGTGTGCAACCTTTTTGTAAGAAGGGGGATTTTTTTTTTCCTTTTCATGAGAGGAGGCTGTATTAGATCTAATATCCAGGGCAAACTGTAAGTTTTTTTTTTTTCCTTTAGATGGATTCTCGGTATGCAGCCCATGAAAATGCCATCGCTACTTCCTAATATTTTCATTCACCCATTTTGATGAATGAAGGAAGACTTTCTGGCCAGCAATAAAACACCCCATGTTTATCCAGCCCATTCCATCACCTTCTGGCTCTGTACATGGTTTGCGGCCAGTAATTTACAACCCTTCTTGGGCGAGGTTTCAGCAACTCATCTTGGCCTTCATGTTGTACTTTCAGGTCCCTTGTCAGCCTATGCAGCCACCTGGAAGGCTTGTTTTGGAAGTTCCCAAAGGAGGCAATGCTCTAAAAGCTGAGTAGAGTTTCAAATACGCAGGTCTCTCCTTCTGCTGCCCTTTACTCAACTCTTTTAGGGGGGGCTATTATCACTATTACTATTATAAGGTGACTTTAGGGTTTAAGACCCTAGATTTTTGGTTTTGTTTTGTTTCCTCACCTTCACAAACTTGACACTTTTAGTGAAGTAGAGCTAGGTGTGGAGTGGAGGCTCTACACTGGGCCTGGAGGTAGAGAGAACTCCAACCTGTAAGCCTTTGCAGTCTGCCACCTCATGGTGGAATTTGATGGTACATCTCAGGACGGGTTGGGCAAATTGATTCTGAGGTTATTGTGATTGTTTTGATAATTGACCCTCTCTTGATTCTGAAATTATTTCTTGGGGAATCTCTGGGTATGATGGTTCTGGAGACCTTTGCATGTTTTACTGATTCCTCCTGTTGTTCAGGGAGTTGGCTCTCTTAAGGATTTGGTAGACTACACATTTGTTTATTGTTCCCTCAGCACTGACTTTCTCCTCCCCAGCTATTATTCCCAGTGTTTTTACTGAAATGAATTTGCTGACTGGTATTTTTGTGTGTTGGACTAGAATATAGAATTTTCTGGGGTCTTAGGGCAGAGGGCTGTGGACTGGAAGTGTTTGTGGAATGGTGGACTCCCATTGGGACTGAATTACTGTGATTAGAAGTGTTCAAGAATGTGCCCTTTGCCTTTTTCCTTTTAAAGTCTTTTGGGTTTTCCTGTGAGAGTTCAATAGACATCTCCTGGTGAGAAACAGCTCTTAAGAATGCCTTGCAAATGAGAGGGCTTTGCCTGCAAGAAAACAGATTGACATATGAGTGATAAATTAATCATGTACATGGATGCTTTATTCTAAAATTTGTATTTAATTCTCCCCCTTTATGTCTAAAGATAATCTAAAATTTTAAGTGCTTCTAGTCAATAAAGGCTGGTACTTTATTAAAGTTTTGAGCTTATCCTAATTAACATGGAGGAGTCTGTAAACACATGTTCTCTTAAGTTTTCTACTTAAAGTCTTATTGAATTTAGTAATTCTCCAAGTAACTATAGTTTCTTGATATTCAGAAATGAATGTTTCAAGATGTAGAATTCTTGCCTAGCATGCAAAAGACTTTGATTTGTTCCCTAGCACTATCTCGCCATTCACAAAAAAGGAAGGAAGGAAAGAAAGAAAGAAAGAAAGAAAGGGAGGAAAGGAGTTAGAGGCTGCAGAAAGGAAGAGAAAGATAAAAGAAAAAGAAAGACTACATGTATATTTGTATGTATGTTGTGTTTGCCTAGCATGCGTGCACCAAGCCCTGAGTTTGATCCCTAGCATGGTTGTACATGCCTGGTCTTTGAGACCTTCCTGGTGTACATGGAGGGTACTAAACCAGCCAGGACTATGCCTAGTGAAGCCAACCAACCCACCAAACAAACAAATGACCTCGCTCGTTTTCTTTTCTCTTTTTTCTTCTTTTTCCTCTTCATCCTCCTTTTCTCTTTCTTTCTTTCTTTCTTTCTTTCTTTCTTTCTTTCTTTCTTTCTTT